CGTATTCCACGTCGTGTCATCTGTGACTCGCCTAGTTGGTTTGAATTTCATATTTTCTCGGACGCTTCTGAGCGAGCATATGGCGCCTGTTTATATGTGCGTAGTGTTAATGATCAGGGTGAGGTTTTAATTCAATTATTGATGGCGAAAAGTCGTGTCGCGCCGCTTAAACCTATAACAATCCCAAGACTGGAACTTTGTGGTGCACTTGTTGGAGCTCGCCTTTACCAAAAGGTTGTAGCATCGCTGAGACAACAGGCTAAGCGCACTTTCTTTTGGACAGATTCGTCCATCGTGTTAGGATGGTTAAAGGTGTTACCTAGCAAGCTACAACCCTTTGTCAGAAATAGGGTTGCTGAAATATTAGAGAAGACTGGAAATTGCGAGTGGAGGCATGTCCCAACAGAGTGTAATCCGGCCGATCATATTTCTCGCGGTGTGAGTTGTAAGGATATTTCATCCATGAGTAAGTGGTGGTCAGGACCTGAATTTTTAAAGAAAGAGGTCTCTCACTGGCCTGCAAATTTCTTAAGTATTAATCACGAGTTGCCTGAGATTAAATCGTCAAATGTTATCCTCCACGGAATACTTCATTCTAGCAACAATGAAGATTTAGGTGGGAATAAATTAATTGAATTTAAACGCTTTTCTAAATATACTAGATTAAATCGGACCGTTGCTTATGTGCTGCGTTTTATTAATAATTGTAGAAAGCAATTCACGGTCCTCTAAGCAATCAAGAGTTGCAAACCGCACTCAATGTTATTATAAGAATATCCCAGAGTGAATCATTTGAGGAATACACCATGTTAATTAAAAATAAAAGTTTACCCACTAAAAGTCCGTTGCATAAATTTAATGTATTTCTCGATGATAATAAAATAATGCGTGTTGGAGGGCGTCTTGAAAATTCCGATTACTGTTATGAGAAAAAACATCCCATACTTATACAGTCCACTCATTATTTTACCAAATTGCTCTTCAATTATGAGCACATAAGGTTAATGCACGCGGGACCACAGCTAATGTTGGCCACTATAAGAGAGATGTACTGGCCGATTAGAGGTCGTAATTTGGCCAGATCTTGTTATCGACAATGTGTAAGATGTAATAGAATGAAAGGAAAAACCATCTCTCCAATAATGGGCAACCTACCACACCAACGCATCCTTTCTGGTTTTCCATTTCAAAATATTGGACTAGACTATGCGGGACCAATTCAATCTGTTTCTCGCCATGGCCGTGGTTGTAAAATTGTAAAGGTGTATATAGCTATTTTTATTTGCTTCGCGACTAAGTCAATTCATCTTGAATTAGTGGGTGATTTAACTAGCAATACCTTCATATTAGCTTTGCGCAGATTTATGTCTAGAAGAGGGAAACCTCTTAATATTTATTCGGATAATGGTACCTCCTTTGTAGGCGCATACAATGACATTTCAAAATTTATTAGGACGTATTGTAATTCTTTATCTGAGGTAATAGCAAATGAAGGAATTAATTTCCATTTCATACCGCCTCATTCTCCCCATTTTGCTGGGCTTGCGGAGGCTGGTGTCAAATGCATTAAATATCATTTAGTTAGAGTGCTGGGCAATTGTAATGTGACTTACGAGGAACTAAATACCACATTAATACAAATTGAGGCTATACTTAACTCCAGACCACTCACACCTTTGTCAACGAATCCTGAAGACTTGCTACCACTAACGCCCGGTCATTTTTTGGTTGGACGCCCCTTGACTTCCTTGCCGACACCAGACTATAAAGATCATTCCGTAAGCTCTTTAACCCGATTTCAACGAATAGAACAATTACGTCAACATTTTTGGGCTAGATGGAGCAAGGAATATATATCAGAGCTTCAACTGCGGATGAAATGGCGTTCCTGTAAAGGCTCTTTGAAGTTAAATTCACTGGTACTCCTAAAAGAGGAAATTCACCGCCATTAAAGTGGAAGATGGGTCGCATCGTCGCAGTCCATCCAGGCTCGGACGGCGTATCAAGGGTGGCGGATATCAAAACATCGACTGGTATAGTTCGCCGATCATTTAGCAAAATTTGTCCGCTTCCTGAACCTGAAGAATCTGGTTGAAAGGTAGACTTTCAACGCCGGGGGGCATGTTGAAGCGCCTGTCAAATTATATTAGCAGTTCTCATGCCAATATTAGTCCGTAAGCTGTGTAGGTATGTTTAAAAAATGTTGTACCTGTCGTCGTTGTAAAATTTAGAGATCAAGTAAAGGTCGATTGAGCAAATTACTGCATTTTACTATTAAAAAGAGATCAAATTCCTATTCAGTATGTTATATGTGCTCATATAATAACAGACGCGAATTACTGGTCAGAGTACTAGATACTACTTCACGCGGCCTAAGTTTGAAAGCCAACTAGAGCGAGCCAATATTTGAATTTAAAAAAATTGTTTATTTTTGAGTCGGGAATATGTTGTGAATATCCCCAACCTGCAATCAAATCGCAAAGCAAATATTACTTGCACAATTGCAATGGCGTAGCATGGCTTAATGCCATCATAAAATTAACCAACCTCTTCCCAGCCCCTTGTACAATCGTTTCTTAAATGTGCGTTGGATATACATGAAAATTAAAAGTTCTGGTATTACAATGTTCTAAGTGTCGTCGAGTAGAAAAGCCACCACCACATATATTGCCGTGATTATCGTAAAAGACAAAAGAGGAATATGAAACAGAAGGCAGCATGTTCCTGATAACAACTCCAAATAATGAAAAAACTACGGTTGCCAACCTAAGCGTGCCAACTATGAAAATTATTCACCCTGTGAGGCAATCTATTGGGGAGCTCTATGTTCAGCAGTGGACATTTGATAAACTGTTATAATGATGATGAAGATGAGTTAGTAGTTTGTAACTCACGCCGCCACGCTCTCAGTCCGCCGAACGTTTTATATATAGCCACTGACCTTAGGAATAAGTTAAAATATTGGATATTGAATTTGACGTTTGTAAAAGTTCTTTCAGTAATTGTTATTCTGGAATACAAATGAACCTTTCTCGCCTAAGGTTACTATCGTTCCGATTCACTTTATTGTAAAAGTTAGAAACTACTTAAAGTTAGTCGATTGTAAATTCGTATCACGAAGCTAACCGAAGAAATATTTAAACGAAGTTTTTATTGTGTTAAATAAAGAAACAAACTTAGATGTACTTTGTTGTTAAGGGTTGTGAGGCATTGCATTTTAGTCCACAGAGGTGACAACGCGGAGGCTTTTTTATTTAAAGTTCGTTGCAAGTATCTATAAGCTGCAGTAGTCACTTACCTCAGGTAGACTGGTGTCTGCGTTGTTTATATCTGTGCAGATATATAAGAGATGGTTATATCGCCATCTATTGCAGTCGTGCAGTCTTTCTATAATTTCCAACAGACTTTACGACACTTACGGCGAGAGATATGGTAATGGGTTATCTTAAGGTGAAACAAGACTGTGGTCAACACGGTCTTTATAATTTTTAATTTGTGATCACAATCATAATACACATACAACATATCTCAAGACCTGGTCTTGACTTAAATAAGAAATTGCCGTTCTGCAGTGCTTCATCATTTCAATTCAAAGTAATTTTTGTTTGGTGAGGAATTCTAATTTTATAGTATTTTTTTTAAAATTATGGATTTCTTTTCTAAATTAGTCATTTGTTTATTGATTAACGATATGTTTTCATTGCATTTGAATCTTTTTTGTTGTCATGGATACTTTAAAAATTCAAGTAATTATGGAATATGGGTACCGTCGTGGCAGCAACGCGGCACAAGCGGCATGCAATTCCAACGACGTCTGTGGTGTAAGTGTTGTTAGCCTATACTGCTCTTGCAGCTTTATCTGATACAAGGCTGAAAGTTGACGAGCTATCAATGACGTTTACGGAGCGAACACTACAAACGAATGTACCACCTGTTATTGGTGTGGCCGCTTCCGGTCTGGAAATTTCAACCTGAAAAATGAACCCCGTAGTCGTCCGAAAACTTTGATTAACAATAACAAATTAAAGGCGATTGTGGAAGCTGATGATACGCATTCTACGGCAGCAGCTTTTAACGTTATACAATATTGGTCCACTTGCGTTAAATTGGCAAAGTAAAAAAGCTTGCCAAATGGGTGCCCCACGAACTGATTGCCAGCGTAAAGTACGAAACGTAACTTGCACTGCTCAACAGGCACATAAACGAAGAATTTGTGAACCGCATTGTTACCTGCGACAAGAAATAGATTTTGCTTGAAAATCGCAAGCTCTCAGTAAGTTGATTGGTTCAGCACCTACACAATGCCCTAAACAAAAACTTCATACCAAACACAACAAAAAATACAGCTTCTTACCAAACAAGATGAGCATTACTGTAGATGTGTACTGCGAAGAACTGAACACAATGATGGAGAAGATTGCAACAAAGTTGGTTTTCGGTAAATCACTCGTCCCCACTGCTCCTACACGACACTGCGCGAGCTCATACTGCACAACAAATGGTCTACAAGTTATAAGACCTGGGGTTGAAGGCTCTCCGTCACCCACCTTACTCACCAGACCTTGCGTCTACAGAATTATACATTTCTAGAAGTTGGAGAGCTTTTTGACAGGAAAAAATTCAATTCCCGAGCTCCCGTCCAGCTGATTTCTTCAAGAAGGTCATCAATAAACAGCCACTGCGTTGGAAAAGATGCATCTATTGCATGGGTCTTTACTTTGATTAATAGAAATAAAAATATAGCAAAAAAACTATGTTAACTTATTCCATAAAAAACGACGAATTCACAGGTAAAGAACTAATAATTTAAAACCAAGCTTATTTACATCTATAACTACATAATACTTTGAACCTGCTTGCTCACTTTTGTTGTTGTTGTACATATCAAAACGTGATTCTACTTTTGACCTTAGATATAAGCGACCTATTTAAGTTCAGTTTCATATAGTAATCCTCAGACGGAAGTTGTTTAAATTAATTAAGAAAATAAAACTATTACAATGAAATCTGTAATTTGTTTCGTGTTATTGGCTGTTGTGAGTGTGGCGCTCTGTGATACCGTTCCACATTCACGGGGGTGTATATACATTATGGGAAGGTGTAAGTAACAAACAGTTTTAATCATTAGTGAATGCTTTTGTATTAATAAAATGGCATAGAATTTAAAACTACGTATTTAAAGAAAGTGACTCTATATGATTTTTAATAATTAAAATATCTGGTGGCGTTTGATTGTGTCGAATTTATAAATTACTTACAGTAGAGCTACGCTGCAACGAAATTTAGCTGCAGCATAAATAGCTAGACCGGTGAAATAAATATATAAAAATAAAAGTATTTTTTTGCCACAAAAATACATGTTAAAATTGAAATACACAGCTTAATAATTTCTTGTGACAAAACGGTCTGTGACTCGGTTATAACGGGAAACCCATTGCTCTTGCTACTTTGCCAAAGCCTTTGTGCATTAACCATACACGGTCTTAGACAAGAGATGAAACAGATGTATCTTAAAATAAAACTTAAAAAAAATTAAAAGAACAAATAAATAAAACTAAAAATATATAAAAAATTCACATAAAACCTACTGCACTCAATACCAGTATAAAATAGTTAGTATAAAATGTTACCACTGTGTTTCGTATTATTAGTGGCGAAAACAAAACGAGCCATTACCGCCGACTTAGCGTAACCGACAAAAACGAAATTTTACAGGAGAAGGTATTTTTTTAATTATTTTTACAAATAATTGCGCTATTAAATTGAAATTTAACATATAATTATGATTATTGAAGCTTTAGGTGTAGCAGTTAAAATTCTCGAAAAAACAATAGGTTTAGAGGCTTCTTTGGCGTTTACAATATTTTTGCTGTCTCAAACGAACCACTTCTTATGATTCCGGGCGTATGAGATAACACTTGCGATAAAAATAACCTGTTTTTAGTTCTAACCTAAGCGACAGTAGGTCATTTTAACTACGGATACATTTTCATAAATAAATGGGTATTTAATAAATTAATGTAAAAAAAACTTAAAATATATAGTTAAATATATAACATATTGCTCATTATTTTAACATTTTAGAGAATATTGAGATCAATAAATGAAACTTAAAATTGAATTATTAAACTTAAAGAATTATCAAGGAAATTAAAGCTTTCGTATTACCTGCATTCGTTTCAGCTAATATTACTCATTAATTTAACATTTTAAAAGAACACAGATCAAATAATTCAATTTCAACTAAAATTAAACCTTTAATTCTCATTGTCACTATCATCTGCATCAGTTTCAGGTATCGCGTCAGGAACTGATTCATCATGTTTTATATTTACATACTCTTCATGGTACCTGCATGGTATTAAATTTTTATTACACAGATTCAGAAGATCTTTTTACTTTGCAGCCGAAATTTTTAGTTTTTTTTTTTAATAGAATTAGGTTGACAAACGAGCACACAGTCCACCTGATGGTAAGTGGTTGCTGTGGCCCATAGACATCTGCATCTATCTTCGTTTGCGAATTAAAATGCAGATGCGTTGTCAGCCTTGAGGACTAAGATAGAATGCCTCATTTCCAGTAAAAAGGGTCTCCGGTTCTCTACACTCACCATACGAAGTGCAGAAGCATTAAGCTGGTAAGCCGGTATTCTGTGAGAGCGTGGTCCTTCCCCGGTCGAACCGACCTATTCGGGCTACAACTATACTATTAATATAGCTGCAGCATGGCTCTACCACGTACAAAAAATAATTAATGCACCAGTACAGTTCTTCCGAATGGTATAACTGTACTGGTCCATTAATTATATTTGCCGTATTGCCTCGTGATCTAATAATTAGATCCATATTCAACTTTTGTTTATTGCTATCTTCGAAAAAACCATATTGGAGTGTAATTACCGGATTGTTCTTCTTAAAATGTACCATTGTTAAAGTTTTGAAGGCTATTTTAAATTTCGCTGGCAATAAAGCTTGCGAGGTAGACTTCCAGTCCATAAAATCAGTATAATTCTAAACATGTACCAAATAACCTGTTGAATTGGATCTAGAACTAGTGATCATAGTTAGATCATAGACCACTCAGAAGGAGCCCACACTGTTTTATTACGGATAAAACTTTCAATTGTACTGTGAATGGAGTCAACAGGTATCATAGTGTCCAGGTAGGAAATAAGTTAGGTACTTTTATTGTAGTAATCGTAGTTGCTGTCTTCAAAAATTAAAATAACATGGATATCATTGCACGGTTTCTGTTTTGGCCAACACAACTATCTGCATACAGATTTAGACGCTATGGGTTCTTTTACTGTAACTGTAGGGCAGAAGTAGGTACTTCCCCAGTCGGTTCAGTTATATACAAAACCTTACATCTAACAACAATTACTTTAGCTAAGTAGGTAACAGATTAAGTAAGCAATAGAAGGAGAACAGACAGTTGCCTAAAGCTCAGTGGCGGCAACGCTTTAGGGTTTACCAAAGTTAAGCATGAAATTCACGTGATCACTCTCACGCAGGCAAAGCCACGAATAATAATAATAAAAGGTTACTAAATTTTGACTAGCGCAAAATTTAGTAACCTTTGGTTATTTATTTACATTCATTTACTAACAAAATCACAATACTTAAATACCTTTGTCGGCGTTGACATTTCAAACGTTTCGCTGCCCATAGAACCTCTCAATCTCACTCAAAATCTCAAGTGTCCCGGAAACGATGCTGCCACACTCGGTCTTCAGCCTTGACAGTTGGCTCTTTCTGGCAGACAGATCTCTGGCAAAGACTTTGGAGCCTTGGTTCCAAAGATCGCTTGGATCGCTTCTTCAATACAAGCTGTATTGAAGTTGCGTAAGTCCCGCCGCATGCATTTGGAGATCTTTTTGTTCAGTTGCCTATATGCTGTCGAATCTGTTGACGACTGTAGCTTCATCTCCCGTCTAACAGCCTTGAGATTAAGAGTGTGATCGGAGAGTTTTTGTGTTCTTCTGCGGCTGATCTTGCAGAAGTTAGCTCCGACCGCATGGACAGTTTCCACGAGCTTGTCATAATTAATTATAATTTAATACTAAATAGATGCAGAGATATAGTTATTGCATCACAATTTTCACTGAAATGAGCTCATCGCAATACGTTTTTTGCCACCTTGCTTATAGCAAACGACTAAATTTTGATGTACTACGTCGGTTGCGATAACAAGTAGGGTCGCTTACGCTGCAATTCTTAGATAATTACACAACTTACGATATATATTGATTATGTCGGTTATTCTAAAATATAGAAAAACGTTGTGCTAACGATAAACTTAGCATTTGCTATAACTTTCAAATTGATTGTATTTTGGTGGGAAATGTCGACGAACCGAGTCCGTTATAGTTTAAAATGTGGTTTGCGACAAAAAACTCTGTTTAGGTAAAAATTTCGCTTACGATTCGGCGGTAATGGCTCGAAAATACATTTTTCACTGGTAATGAGGAACACTTAGTAAACATGTGTGGCAACATATCTGCATTTTGATTCTTAGAGGATATACTTTCCACATTTTTAATAGGTGAATGTACGCCATATTGTTACCCTCACTTCTCACTTCTATGGAATTAAATCTGATATTTATCACTTAATTAGTTTAGCTTACTTCTTTACAAGTTACAAAGTATCAGAGCTTCTCTTAGCTTATTTACTGCTGTATTCCGATTTTAAGAGTAACTCATTCATCACGTTTTTACGAACTTTGAGCGCAGTGACTTTTTTAATCGGAATTGAAGAGAGTGAAGATTGCCGAAAGCAGTGTGTGAATAGTAAGTTAACTCACTTTTTATTAACTTCCAGGTGACAGAGAATGTGAGGAGGGTACTCAAGCTTATGCTCTTGGATGTGGTTATTTGACAAAGGAGGCGACATGCGATGAACCAAATCCCCAACCAGACACGCGTGGGAAGATTTGTGACTTTTCTGCTTGCTACTGCGCTCCTCCGACTGTCAGGGATACTGTAACCAAGAAATGTGTCCCACTTGAAGAATGCACCAAAAAGGAATAATTTGAACCTTACAAGAACGCGACTATTTGAATTACACAGTATTTTAATAAAATGAAGCATTTATAACGTCATCTATTATGTTTTTCTAAATTACTAAGTTGTTATACGTCACATTATATTTCAGTCTATCTTTTTTTTATCATGAACTAAGTTTTTTATTTTAGGTTGGGTGATAAACGAGCACACAGTCCTTGTGATGGTTTGTAAATGATGTGGTCGATTGACGCCTACATCCTCGATTAATAACCAAACAGCGGATGCGTTGTCATAACCCTATTCAAATTAAGATGGAATGACTCGTTATGAGAAAAGGGGGAACCTGTCCGGTTCTCGCCACACATTTCACGAAACACAGCAGCGAATTGATGCTATTTAACTTTCGAGAACGCGTTCTTTTACCGATTGTAACAACACATTAGTAATGCACCCTCAGTGCCTGTAGTCGCTCTGAGTACTACGTTAAAATTATATGCACTCGTTTCTCTTCGTGCTTAATCGCATTTAGCAAAATACTTAACTTAACTTAACTTATCTTCACGCACAATCCCTGACGGGGTAGCCAGAGAGAACAGATCGCCAAGTGTCACGATCCTTACAAACCTCTTTCGCTTCTTTCAGATTCATTATCTTCTTCATGCATGCACGTCTAGGTATCCGAATACTTTTGACCCTACCCTCTTCGAGCAATTTGCTCACATGGTCTTCGAAAGTTAGTCTCGGTCTACCTCGACACCTTTTAATATTAGCAAAATCATATTTTATATTGTAACAAAGTGATAGGCAGCAGCGTATTGCCAATAACAAATAAAAATATTAATTAACTGAAACTGTCAACCCGCCTGCCAAGCGGGGAACAATTGCCAACGCCCCCAGACATATCGGGCAATCTATGGAAATGGCCTTTGTTCAACAGTGGACTCTTGATAGCTTGCGAAGGTAACGGTATGATAATTATTGCCTCATAAGTCCAGTACCTCTTACTTTACATAATCATCATCCTCATCGTCACTAACCCGTGGCAGTCTACTTTCGAGGTAATGCAGTACTTTTGTATTTTTTATAAATTCATTTTCAAACCAAATAAAAGAAACGCTTAGACACGTGAGAACACAAGAAGATCGCATATAAAGCTACGAATATATTTTCGTAACCGAATTTACTTTTGCAAATTTAATCACGCTTGCTAAGAAAATATTTCAGAACGACGCAATAAAACTTTGACCCTTCGATATCCACGCTGTAGGCTATGAGCTCTGACGTATGTACGACATGGCCAAATACGCCTTTATAACCTTTTACATCATTTTATCGTCGAACCTTCTGAGAAATTCGCGCTATTTTTCAACGAAAAAAGGCATTATTAACATTCGCATTATTTATAACATAAGCTCATATTTTTTTAATGAAATTGAAGTGTCAAACTGAAATATAATAAACGTGTTAGAGCCACGCCCATGCTGCAGCTGATGTGCAATTATTTTATTCTTTATAGTTCTTTAAAGTCGGCTTTTACTTTTTATTAAATGTTATTATTACCCTGTTGAGTGTGTTCAAAATTACGCGGAGCAATGATTTTGCGTAACATACATACAAAAACATTCAGCCGAATTGTAAACCTCCTTTTTTAAAGGCGGCTAAAAGCTGATGGATTCTCTTACGAGGCCATTACACTGCATTTTGAAACAAATTGTTTACAAAGATAGAAATAAAAGTTTTTATTTTTTAATAAAAAAATTCAATAGCAAATGTAATGCGTTTAACTTTTGTTAGAAGTCCCGAACGAAGGCTGAATTGGAAGAAAAGTTTTTCTTCATCGCGATGAATTAAAGTCATTCTGTTCATACTTTGTCAAATCGAAACTACAAAGTTTTGCTATTAATGGGCCTTTTGAAGTTATTAATGTAAACATTTAAATAAACTAAAAACACTTTTTATATAGTTTCATCGTTTTATTTTACGTGGTAGAGCAATGCTGCAGCTATATTAGTAGTATAGTTGTAGCACAAATGTGTCGGCTCGACCGGATAAGGACCACGCTTTCACGGAATACCACCGTAAAATAGCAGCTTAATGCTGCTACGTTTCGTATGGTGAGTATAGAGAACCGGAGACCCTTTTTACTGGAAATGAGGCATTCCTTCTTAGTCCTCACGGGTGACAACGCATCTGCATTTTGATTTGTAATAGAGGATAGATGTAGATGTCTATGGGCCGCGCCAACCACTTAACATCAGGTGGACTGTGCGCTCGTATGTCACCCTATCCTATGAAAAAGATATACCACTTTAACATTACACTATAAAACACTAGTATTTTTTAGTGTTTTATAGTGTAATGTTTTATTCATGGCAGAGCTACGTTGCAGTTGTATTGTGGTTGTATACGTGGTGGTAGCACCACGCTACAGCTTTATTATAATTGTAGCGTGAATGGGTTGGCTCGACCGGTGGACTTATTTTAACAGAATACCAGCTTAAAATATTAGCTTAATGCTGCTGTGTTTCGAATAGTGAGTGTAGAGAACCAGTGACCCTTTTTCTTGGAAACGAGGCATTCCATTTAGGCTCAACGCATCTGCATTTTGATTCTTAATTGAGAAAAGCTGTCCATTAAAACCATAATTTTGCTTCTGCGTGACTACTACGTGTAAAAGTTTTCTTTTACAGTGCTCCATCGAACTCTTCAAACTCTATCGAAACTCTCACTCGTCACGGTTTGCAAGCGGAATGACGATCGCGGTAGGAGTCCTCACGCACGTTTACCGCTGCTGCCCGTCGTCGGTCAGGATATTGCCATTGTTTGTAAACAACAGTTTTTTGCGCAAAAAGATTGTCTGGAATAAATCAATTCCACAGCGATAAGACTGCCTATTGTACTTTCTATATGATTTATTTCTCTTTGTTTTTGTTGTAATATGTATTGGTGTACAATAAATAATATATTTATTGATTGTTTGTTTGATATTTTATGCCTGTCATATACGAGATGTATTTTTAAAATAATATCTATCGATGATTATTTGAAAAAAGCTAACAGTTTTTTAAGTTATCCAATAGTACGGAACAGTGTTATTTATACAGATGCATAAGAAAATAACATCACGACAACCAGTTTACTAAAATCAAATGTAAGCCTCAACTTAGGTCGCAACTTTGGAGAGTTTAAGGTAAGAGTAGATTCCGCGAAAGTTTGTTTACAAGTTGGCGTCAATTTGAATTAACAGAAGCTGACGACAATACTGTGTTTATTGGACTTACCCTGTGCAAGTTAAACGGCAAGTTAGTCATTTCCGAAGACCAGAAGTTTATTTATTCATTTATTTAATCTTTATTGAACCTTATATCAGTACAGGATCAAAAGGCGGAATTAATGCTAAAAAAATTCTCTGCCTGTCAACCTTAAGGCTGTGATAAAACTACGAAGACAGTTACAAAGAAAATAATATATTTTAAGATATCTTAATATAATATACAGAAAACTACATAAAATACCGATTTAACTTTAACAGAGTTAAGTACTTTAATGCTCCACGTTACTCTTAAATATGTTTAAGTTAGAAAATAGTACATATATAAAATGGTTTAATTATTTAAATAAAACTAGTTTTACGGATTTTATCGCGTATATTAACTTATTTTTTATATTCCCGACGTTTCGCTTCAGCACGTCAAGCAGGTTCTGCACGACAACAAGCTTCGTGTCCCGCGCCTACGTCACAGTGACCGATTAAAGCCGGAAACGGTCGATCGTGTGCTTGCTGTACTACCATATGTCAGAGGTGTCACAGACAAGATTGGCTACATCTTGAAGCGTGCTTCCATTGAAAAATAGCCGCCGAAGAAGAATAGTTAGTTTTTACCGTCATTCAAGGGTAATGTTCCTCTGCAAGATGCAGGAGTGTACAAGTTTGATTGTGATTTCTCGGGTCTCTCTTATATAGCACAATCTAAAAATATCAATAAAAACCTGCGTTAAAGAACACATGAAGTCAAGAATCAATGCTCTGGGAACACGTACAGTATTGCCCCCGTCACTACATTAGATTTGATAGACTTCAAATCCTCGCTAAAGAACACCGATTCCTTCCAAGGCTTATTTGCGAGGCTGTCGAAATCAAAAAACATCCTAATTTCAATAGAGAAGAACCTACCATCAGCTTGGGATCCTAAAATTAATAAAATTAAATACCAACATAAGTATACAACTGCAACACTTCAAGATATTAGGCATAGTATCTAGTCTTGTCTTCATACTCTCATTCATCATTTTTTTCAAAAAAAAACCCGCTGGGTTTCTTGCTAGTTCTTTCCAGGACAGAGGGTTTTTTAGAACAAATAGTAAAGTAAAAAATGACTTTCAATAAGAATTACACATGTGATATATATTGAAAAAAATACTACGTAAATCGAAACAAAAATTAATCATTTTAATCTGGAGGTAGCCGTGGTTAACTACAACATTGGGACGACAAACAGCTCAATCTTCCCCCGTGACCATGGGTGCTGTAAAGTACTCTTAACATCGAGAATATAAAATAAGATAATATACGAGACAAAATCTGTAAAAAATAGCATAACCACGCATTCTGAATTTAAAAACTAAAAGGGACCGAATGTTTGAGATATTTTTAATTAATTTTTATCTGAAAAACTTAGAAATTGTTTGTGAAATCAATATATATATATATATACACTCAGCGTCACAAAAATCGCACCTCTCTGAGTTTGTGCGAAAAATGGCTGTAATGGCTAGAAACGAATTATATTTATATAAATATTGGTATGTTTGAAATGGGTATTTGAATAGCTTTACATTATTAATAAAAAAATCATGAAATCATTAAAACATTTATCATTATAGAGCGTCAAAAATAAACACTGTCAAATGCTCGTTAGTAAGGACGCTAGTTACACCACCTAAAAAGGGTATAAAAGGGTCGATCTGGATGAAATATGGGTCAGTCGTAATTTAGACTTTGCAGTGAACACACGTGAACAAGT